GAGAGCGGTGGGCGGGGGGGCTGAGTGGGGCGGGGGGCCGGGACCCCCTCCCCACCGCTCTCCCCTGCGGGGGCAGGAGGCATAAGCTTGATCCTGCGGCAGCCAAGCTTCCCTCCTCCCTTGCTTCTTCGCACAACGTGGTGCATTCTGGCCCCTCCGCCCCTCCTCCTCCTCCTCTCAGTGGCAGCGGCGTGCCACTCAGAATCGGCTCGCGTGCCGTGTTTGGCACGCATGCCGTAGGTTGCTGACCCCTGGTGTAGAGGGAGTGTGCCTGAGAGACCCAGATACAGGAAGTGACCAGTACTTACCTAGACCCAGCAGTCTTTGAAGCACATGGGATCCAGTGGTTGGGTCTTCTCACAACATACTGGTGTCTGTCCAGAGAGGGGCTGGGCCAGGTTGTGGCACTACCCATTAACAATCTTTCCTTTCTTCCGCACTTAGTATTTCCTGTTTATTTAGACTGTAAGCTCTAGGACAGCACCTGTCTATTATGTGTTTGTACAGTGCCTACCACAATGAGGCTATGATATTGGTTGGGACCACTAAACACTACTGTAATAATAATAAATACCACCATCACCACCATCCAGAGAGGGCAACATCATATTATTTGCATGTTTTTAATACTTCGTACTTGGATTCAAAGGCTCTGTAAAAGTGAATGAAATCAGTCCATCAGCCTCATGCTGAAAAACTGATCACTTGCAGGGGACCAGGAAGGAATTCTTTGACTACCCCAAATCCAGCATCTGCACAACTGACCAAGTGCATTATGGAGGGAGAGGGTTTTGCCTTGCTCTGAAGTATCCGCTATTGGACATTTCTGGAAGACTAGGTCAACTGAATGAACAAACAAATCCTATATAAAAAGTGAAACTGGCATGGGAATTAGGTGTCCCCAACAACCATAGAGAATGGATCAGATCGGATAGAAGAGGGATACTGACCTGCCATTCCTCAGTATCACTGTAGAGGGTTACGGGAATCTCCTGGGGGTTGTAGAAATGTTTTGCCCTCTCGGTTGTTACCACACGCACTTTCAGCTAACGAGAGAAAAGGAGGAGGAGAGACAAACAATTACAGTTTATAACATAAAAGCCCTGAGCCAGGCAAGGGAAGGAGGACTTGGGTGGCAAAGAGTTTTATATCAGGCTCTCACACCAAGACTTCACCCTACTATTCATATTTGCATAACCACTTCCAGTCACTGCTGAAAGGTCAGGCACCAACAGGTGCAATGCAAGCCAGATACTCATTTCTGTTCTTCACATGAGCAGGCTGGGCCTTAGTCATTTGGTTCCTAGCATATGCAAATAACCAACCAGCAGTTGGGCCAGTGAAGATGACCAAAACAGACAAAAAAGAGGCATGGTTTAGAAAAGAGGGCTGCCAGGAAAAACAAAGCTCCATACAAGATCCTTGTTTGATCATGAGACGTGTATGGAAAGAGGGTGTGAAAGTGTCTGGCTCTGGAAGGCCCTATTAACCAGAGCACCTCATGGCCGTGGACAAGAAGACACCATAAGAAAACCTTTTGTTCATCCGTCTATGTCTAACTACACCTGCTGCATTTGCAATTAAACTCTATGCAAACAGTCTGTCTACCATGCGAGATTATGGGTGTAACTCAATGGTTTTAACTACAAGGAGGCTTTTCTCAAATTCTCCGGCTGTTGTCCTACAACCAATGAGGATGCACACTTACTACCTATTATGGAGTGTGATGCTGGCATACCAGGTACCAGCTCATGCCAAGATCCCCATGCCTCAACTGAATACTTACAAATATATGGTTGAAATCAGTCAGGCTCACCTGTGTGTTAGTATTGTTAAAATAGGTACTAGAATAAGAATGCATTTAGTGTTTAGATTTTATGGAGGGTCCTGTGGCACCTTTAAGACTAACAGAAGTATTGGGAGCATAAGCTTTTGTGGGTAAGAACCTCACTTCTTCAGATTCAGACTAACACGGCTACCCCTCTGATACTAGATTTTATGGAATGCTTGTAAGTTGCTGCATGTATTAATCTCATTTATCATATCTGTATCCCATATCACAAGGTAATATTTGAGTGTTTTCACTGTAACCCTCTACGTAAATCACCAGACAGGAGAGAGACATTAACTAGTGTAAAGTGCTTATCTCCAACAGAAAGTGGCCAACAAGGAAGGCCCATCAACAGCAGATGGACTAGAGTGGAACATTAAAGAGGACAAAAGACTTTGTTCTTTACTGATGATAGCCCGTATATGCTAGCACTTCCTGCCATTATTTCCACCAGTGGTGGGAGAATTTGAAGAAAACCTTTGTGTAGGCACATCCATAGTAATAGACTTGATTATGGGCTTTCTAAGTGTACTCATCATGCTAGCTGCTATACACTTCTGTTGTCACCAAAAGCTGCTGACCATCTCCAACAGCAGCAGTTGAGGCTTGGGAACAGGTTAACCTATCTCCCAAACAGTGACTGTTTTATAGTCTGTTTTATCTTCCTAGCAATGACAATTCTAGGCTCATCTTTCTCCACCCTTGTTATCTAGGATGACCTGGGGCAGTGGAAAATTCCAGCCCCCAAACTTCAGGGTCTTTGATCACTTTACTGTTTATTTCAGAATCTAAGGAGGGCTGGTCTACATATAGAAATTTACATGTATATACTATGCGGGTATATTTATACTGATACAGGTGTAGCAGTACATCATACTGGATTGACAGTCTTATTCTGGAATAAAAGTGCTTTTTTCCAATTTAGTTTATGTTGCTTTGAAAGCGAGAATGTCAAAGCATAGTTGGGGCACGTACCTATGAACTGCAATCTAACAAGCAAGAGGCTAGCTGGAGTCAGCCAGCACTATCTGAGTGCATGTCTTTCAGCTCTTCCTCCTCCAGGCTGGGTTCTGTGGTTGCTTGTTCTTCACAGCAGGGCACTATCCAGTTATTCTGCATCATACTCTGGGACATTATGCTCTTTCTGCAATGTTTGCTCATTTTCCATAGCTTTCATTTGAAATCACACACATTTCTGGCCCTTTCCAGTGTCAAAATCATTTTCAGAGCAACAACCACAGTTTCCCCATTAACCTCACTTTGCACAAAACTGTTTCCAGCCAAACAGCAGCAGCAAAGGTGCTAACTGCACTATCTGCTACCCTATTTGCCTCAATGAGGTGTTTACCTCAGAGCCTACACAGCCTATTTAAATGCTGATTTTATACAGCAATTGCATTCTTTAGGCTTGTCTACAAGGTGTGGCAATGTGCACAGAAGGGGTGTAAATTGTAGAGCATTCTAAAATGTTGTGCTGAAACTGCCCCATGTAGACCTGGCTGACACACTCTAAAAGGTTCTTAGCGTGTGTTGATGTAGTCCCAATGTTAACATGCACTAGGAATCTTTTGGAGCGTGCTAGCATAACTGTGGTCAGATCTATACTATAGACTTCAGCCAGAATACTAATATTGGATGACATTTCTATATTAATAAAAGCCCTAGCTTAAGCACAAAATATTGGGTTCAATGCAGGAATCACTGGGTGCAATTCTCCTTGTTCAGTAACGGTATAGACTATACCAGCAAAAGCACTCTTTTGCTGCTATAAGCTGCAACTACACTAAGGCTATGTCTACACCGCACTTTCGGCAGTAAAACTTTTGTCAGTCAGGGGTGTGGAAAATAAAACAAACACACTCCTGACCGACAAAAATTTTACTGACAAAAAGCATGGGTGTTTATACAGCGCTTTATCAGCAGGAGACGCTCTCCCGATGACAAAGCTACCGCCCCTCGTTGGAGGTGGTTTTATTTTGTCGGCAGGAGAGCTTTTTTTTCTGGCTAATGAAGAGTGGCTACACTGCACACCTTACAGCGGCACTGCTGTTGCGGCATAGCTGTCACTCTAAGGTGCACAGTGTAGACATAGCCTTAGAGGGTTTGCCGGTATAGCTATAACTAAACTTTCTAGTGTACACAAAGCCTACACTGGTTAGGGGTGTGATATATTAATTATTATTATTATTGCCAATTTAGTTATACCAGTAAAAGTTCTAGTGTATATGCAGTTATACTGATATAAAGGTGCCTTATAGCAATATAGTTTATTTCAGTTCCTGAACCAAAATAAGCTATATAGTGATATAAGAATTTTCATACTGATATAATTGTGTACACAACCAGAGTTTTTTGCTGCTTTAACTATACCGGTACAGGTAAGGCAGCAAACTTTTATAGTGTAGACAAGCCCTTCGAAACAAACACATAGCTGCAGCCAAGGCACTTAAAAACCACTCTCTTTCTGCCATTTCTTTCACAGATTTTAAGGCCAAAAGCGACCATTCTGATCATCTAGTTTGACCTCCTGTATAGCACACGCCAGAGAAGTGCACCCAGTGATTCGTGCATTGAACCCAATATTTTGTGGTTAAGCTAGGGTGCATCTTTTCAAAAGACATTCAATCATGATTTTAAAACTCCAAGTGATGGAGAATGTAACACATTCCTGGATAAGCTGTTCCAATGATTAACTATTCCCACTGTTAAATTCTTTTCTGCAGGGATGGGCTCCTTGCTTACTCATCCTAAGTGGGACTTTCATGTCCCTCTACCTAAGTTGGAAAGAAATCAGTATTCTTTCCTTTCTATATATCTGTAACAGCCTCTGTTTGCCTTCATAACAGTTGTGTTGCTTGATTTTAGGGGATTAATATTATTATTTATATAAGTTAAAAGGCTTGCCAATTGATCTGATCAGAAGATATGGTTCTTGTCCCGAAATCAGGTTACACAGAGTCTTGCAAGAAACCCTCAGGATGTATGACAAGGACACTTATGCTGAGAACACAATACAGCCGTAGAGACTTTTACTGACATAAGTGGAAAAGTAATCAAATGGAAAGTAATCAACCAGAATTAAAAAGAAAATAGTACTGTTTTGGAGGTACATGTGGTATCCTTTACTATAAAACTTCCTAGATTAACATACTTTCATCCTTCCTTGAGAACCTGGTGGTAAGAGACAAAGGACCAGCCTCATTTCTGGCATGCCAAAAGAGTCCGATGGTCCAGGTTCCTCAATGCTTGAGTGGAAGATAAAAAATTTAGGGGAAGCTAGAGAGCTAGAAAGCTATAAAGCCAGAAAACTAAGCCAAAAAAGACCCAAGAAAAAACTAACCTAACCCTAATCATGGTGGTTTGCCCTCTTATGTGCCCAACCTTCCACGTCCAATTTCTTCACCCACATCAAATTGGGGTGTTCATTGTCACATCTGTTATTTCTGGCTTGAATCAGTTTGGTGGTTATTTCCATGTTCTTTGTGGTGTACCTGTTAAATTTATAGAGCACAATCGCTTGGCAACTTCTCTATGCCAAAGGTCACAAACATATGTACGCTAACTTGCTTTAGCTCATCATACAGGATGTGGCCTGTAGATTTCTTCCATTACTGCAAAAAAATACTCTAATACAAAGTTATAAAGCTATAAAGCTATTATCAACAAACCCATAAGAAAGGATATAATCAAGCAAGCAAGCAAGCAGGCTAGCCCTATGGGCTCCAAAAGACATTTAGTCATGATTTAAAAACTCCAAGTGATAGAGAATTTAACACATTCCAATGATTAATTATTCCCACTGTAAAATTCTTTTCTGCAGGGATGGGCTCCTTGCTTACTCATCCTAAGTGGGACTTTCATGTCCCTCCACCTAAGTTGGAAAGAGATCAGTATTCTTTCCTTTCTATATACCAGTAACAGCCTCTGTTTGCCTCTATAATAGCTAAAATAGAAAATGAGCATGTGACTCCTCTGTTTAACTGCTGATACAAGCTGATGTACACGTCACCTGGTAAAAGAAGCATGCTGGAGTCACAAGTTGTGTGTTTTACATGAGGAGACTCAGCAAATACCCAGAGGCTAGTGGAGTGCAAGACTTCATCCAGGGCTAAGCTTGGATCTCCTGCTTTGCTGTCTCTACACAGAGACCACTAGCCAATGCTCTGCCAGCCTGATTTTTGCCCACGTTTACGTGAGTGCCATTTTCAAGAGTCAAGAAAGTCAAGATTTGACTTATATTAGTAACCCTGAGCAAATACATAAGTGACCATCAGAATTTTCCACTGGCCTGGATAAAACAGCACTTTTTTTCTGCTTCAACAGCCATGTTTATGAAGAAAACCTTTAAAATTTTAACTGATGCACTGTTAACTTCCTGAGTCCGCAGAGAGCCTAACCTGATGGCTATGAGATGTATTAACTACCTCATTCATCTCAACGAATGGTTGAATCTGAAACCTAATGATTACAACATTGATATTTATTTAAATTGTCAACTATTTCACTGCTGATCGTTTTAGCAGAAACTTCTATCTAACATGCTTATCCTACAACCCTAAACCTCTCAGCACATCTCCTAATGATCCAAAAACTTCAGCTGTTTTCTACCCAAGTTCCTCTGACAACTTTCGTAAGACAGTTCTCTGTTGTCAGCACAAAAATCTGCAGCAAGTTAAAACTGAGAGCCTGATTTAAAGTAACTGGAAAGACTCCCATTGACTTTATTTGGCTTTGGCTCAGGCCCTGAAATTGTCCAGACAGTAGAAGATAAATTGAATTTATTGCCAAAATAAATAACAGGGGCTCCTAGACTGAATGGATTCTTTATATTATTTCATTCAGTAAAAACCTCTATTTTTACATTTAAATGAAGCTGCCACAAAATCTGCAGACTCCTGCACAGGAGGATCACAGAATCCAGGAGCCTTGCTATCAAATTTGGATCCAGCTTGCTGCAAAGTTTGTTTATGATCAAAATATTCACAGAGAAGGGATGTGCTTTGATCTAGACTCCTACAGAATGGGTAGTTTTCTCTCTTCCTGTCACCTACAGAGTGGAGGGAAGTCCTTCAGATACCAGTACAGGATGGGGGTGAGGGGAGAGAGAAAGTATGCTGCGGGATCTATGATTCAGGCATCTCCTGTTTCTAAGATGGAAATCCAGAAAGCTGGGGATGAGGGCTGGGGGAATGGACAATCCCTGCATAACCTACATTCCATACACGTAGCAACACATGACCTAAGGTTCTGACATGACCTCTTCCTGTCTCTGCATCACTTTCTTCTGTCCGTTCCCACCTCCATCCCCCTCCCAATCTGGTCTGGAACCTTAAGCCTCTTTCAGTTACTGGAACTGAAAAGCTTAACTAAGGCCCCCCAACAGGGCCAGCTTTAGGCCAATTCCACCAATTCCCCCGAATCGGGCCCCGTGCCTAAGAGGGCCCCGCGCCCAGTGGCAGGGGGAGAAGTGGCCGAGAATCCCTTCCCTGGCTAGAGGCTCCTTTTTAATTTTTACTCACCTGGCGGCGCTCCGGGTCTTCGGCAGCACTTCGGCGGCAGGTCCTTCAGTGCCGCCGAAGACCCGGAGCGAGTGAAGGACCCACTGCCGAAGACTAGGAGCGCCGCCCGGTGAGTATAAGCCCCACGTGTTTTTTTTACGTGGTTTTTCTTTTAGTCATCCCTGCCGGGGCCCCGTCGAAACTGTTCGAATTGGGCCCCGCACTTCCTAAAGCCGGCCCTGCCCCCCAACATGCCAGCTGAACTTTCTTTCCAACAGCTGACAAGATACAGCACTGCTACCCTGACAACTGTGTGTACCTTCAACAGCCTTTCCAGATTTGCTATTGCCTCCACCAATCAGTTTCACAATTTCCAAAATATCATCTCCTATGTCCAAATCTCATGGGGTACCTTGAGCTCTGGAGTGAAGGAATCCCAAATATATGAATCATCCAAAGGGTATTAAACCAGGCCATCTAGCAACCCAACAAGCAATATAAATGCATTATGTATTTGGCCTATGTTTAAGAAAGATAGTGCCACAAATTCTCTCTCTTTTTTTTTTCAATGAACCACGATAATTGGGTTGGTTCCAAAATGTGAGAGCATTCTGAATTTTCCTTTTACTTTAAAGCAAAAGCTATTATAGTTCCCTTTTTTTTGGAATGTAAGTCTATTCACTCCTGGCTAATACTGCCATCTGCTGGACAAATTGGTTACTCTAGACAATAATAAAATTTTTAAAATGTGCATACAGATGCTTCTATATTTTTATAGCTTGTCCTCTTCCGTTTTACACTAGCATCCAACTTTTAAGTTCTATGTCTCAACTACTGAGACTACTTATATTGCACGATCTGAACTACAAATTTGGAGTTTCAAAGAGCATATGGCATTTTTTTACTATATGTATCTCGTAAATTCAGGTTTGCTGACTTTACTGACATCTACATTTTTACATCGGTGAGCCCTGTAAAGCCCACATAATGATGAGAGACAAAGCTAGTTTCCATCATGTATTGTGTGATATCAACAAAACGGTCAGGTAAACTCTTACTGTGAGAATCTTTATTACTGATCATGGTGAAAGAGACAGAAAAATGCTCAGCCTGATTTTCAGACCCCAGGACCAGCATCTAGAATCAGCTTTAAAATTCTAACTGACCCAATCTGATCTCCACTAAGAGAGGATAAAAAGGAAACAGGAAGATATCATATTTACAGTTTCTCTTCTAACTCACTGGAGCATACGTTACTCACCCCAGGAATCTCCAGCAATTCCGAGACAAGAATAGGCAACTTCAGGGCAGCCACACTTCCAGTAACACCAACCAGGACATGGTGGTACTTTTGTGGTGTGGGCAAGCTGTTTTGTGGGGAAGGCTGTGGCTCTGAAAGGGTTAAGGGCTCCATTATGCACCTTGGCGACAATCAAATCTACAAACAAGGAGAAACAGTCTTCAAACTTTGAGCTGGATTTACCTAATGATAGACGTGCAGAGAAATTGCTGATTTGCTTCCCTATACAGAATATCAGTAAGTGGCCTCAAAACACCCTTCAGTTCAGAACAATATAAACTGATCCAAGAAGTGTCACGCTTCTTTCAGTAATCAGGTGGGAGGGTCACCATAACATTCTGCTCCTCCGCAGCTACCTATTATTCTAAAGATCACATCAGAGTTAACTGTGAAATTAACTTAACAATTTAAAAAATATTAGGTATTATGGCTCAAAGCACTCAATGTGCATTCACCAGAAGTGACTGCTTGTGATCAAGGTGATATGAATGATGGCTGCCATTTTGGATGACTCCAGAAATTGATCCAGAGCTAAATGAATATGTTGCTACAGCATGAGCTAGAGTCAGATTCTGTAGTGTGGGGTACATTTGCAACATGCAAATCCTCAGAGTCGGAAACTCTGATACCCCTCTCATTGAAGTAAATGGGATCCTTTCCACATCCGGAATAGCCCAATTGGTGAAAGTGAGCTAGCAAAAGTACTTACAGGATACCAGGAGGTAAAACAGGTGATCTTGAGGTAACATTTCAAAATCTTTACAGGAATCCCATATTATTGTCAATTAACAGAGAGGCACAATGGAAGGGATCCCTTCCAGTGTTATTAAGGGAAGCAAAATTATCATTACTGAAAAGTGGAAGGATCCTAGTAGATCCTAAATCAGGTCACCCAGTTTTAGGCTCGATCCTGCGAGGTGATGAGCAATCTGACCCTGATCCAGAAAAACCCTTATCCACTTGCTTAACTTTAAGTACATGAGTAGTCTGTGGCCCCCACGGCTTGGGGTCAGCATACTCAGTACCTTGCAGAATCTTCACCATTAAATAACAATAAGTTTTTAGCTAAAAGACTTGAAAATAGACAGCCTAGATTCATGCTTCAGGACATGTCAGGCTTTGTTCTGGAAGGTCAACAGAAATAAATGTAAAGAGGCTACTTCATTTGTCCAAATTGGTACAGGTTTTAGAGTCTGCTGTTCCCACTTAATATGGAAAAGGCATGTGACTCAGTCGAGATGGATACGTTCAGTCTCTAATAGGAGTAATGAATGTATGTTGCTGTTTTTTAATAAATCAGTCACATGTATGCACTTTGGATCTCACACAAGAGTTATCATCATCATCATCATTTGCTTCATAGGAGTACCAAGAACCCAGTCAGAGATTAGGCCCCCTGATGTAATAGGTGGGCAAAACAGACCAGCAAAGTAGAGGATGAGATAGCCATGAAGCGAACACAGTTTAGCAGAAAAGCAGAAGTCACATCTTGCCACTTGCCTAACCAATGCCAGTCAAGAGTGTTAATCTCGTGTGCATCACAGCAGAAGCAGATTGGAGTTACCACAAGCAATTACACTTCCTGAAATAACTGATGTATGAACTTATGTTTAAGGCACAAGACTGGGATTCAGGTCTGAGTCAATGCCCAGTTCTGCAACAGACAACCTGTGTGACATTGGGCAAGACACTTAGACTCCCTGTACTTCTGATCTATAAAATGGGGAGAATAATATTTCCTTTCTCCCACCCTTTGTCTGTCTTGGTCTATACTTAAAATTTTAGGTTGACATAGCCACATTACTGAGGGGTGCGAAACTATGCCAACCTAACCCCCACACGGGTTCAGCTATGCCAACAGAAGAATGCTTCCATCAACCTAGCTACCATCACTTGGAGAGGTGGTATTCCTTGTCCGATGAAAAAAACCCTTCCGTTAGCATAAACTGCATTTACATTACAGAGTTATGATGTCATAGCCACAGCACCATAGCAATGCCATTATACTGTAGACCAGGGGACGGCAACCTTTCAGAAGTGGTGTGCCGAGTCTTCATTTATTCACTCTAATTTAAGGTTTTGCGTGTCAGTAATACATTTTAACGTTTTTAGAAGGTCTCTTTCTAAAAGTCTATAATATATAACTAAACTATTGTTGTATGTAAAGGAAATAAGGTTTTTAAAATGTTTAAGAAGCTTCATTTAAAATTAAATTAAAATGCAGAGCCCCCCCGGACCGGTGGCCAGGACCCGGGCAGCGTGAGTGCCACTGAAAATCAGCTCGTGTGCCGCCTTTGGCACATGTGCCATAGGTTGCCTACCCCTGATCTAGGTATTTATACCACACTAAACACCATGTCTGTAATGTTTTTAAATAAATATATAAAGCTAGTGGTGGAAGCTGGGGGACAATGTGATATACAACTTCCCAGACTAAATGTAAAATGTTAGGGATTTCTGGTTCTGATCCAAAGTCAACTGAAGTCAATGGGAGTCTTTCCATCGACTTTAGATAAGGCCCTTTATGCATGTGGTTTGGAAATGTAGAAGATTGCAAAGCTTTAGTTACAATTATATACAAGATTTGCTGGATGCGTTCGGTTTATTTAATCCAAATGTTTGAATTATATATTATTTTCCAAATGCTCAAAGTGCTAAACCCCTACGTGGAGTTAGTAGTGACATCTGTAGTTAAGGTTACCATATCCCTTCCACTTTAATCCACTGTTTTCAAGTCTTTATAACCTTGCCAGACTTCAATCATTTGGGCTGGAATGCTTGGTCTTTGCCTCAAACTGATTTTTGTTTAAAAAAAAAAAACCCTGTTCTTCAGAATAAGGTCAGAGTTTTACATATGTTCAGCACAGTTTAGAGAGGCTTGCAGCTAAAATCTCTGAAGATTTCATCTGCATTTAGCATGCTCCCTAGCCTCACAGACCTTGAGTTCCCAACAGAACACTGCAACAGCAAAAGCTGCTGTCCCTTTGGCCTATGGGAAGGCATGCTAAACAGAGCCAGAAGGGCCCATGAGTTCTTGTCTCAGTTCTTCCATCAATTGGTGTTGATAATTCCACGTTCTTCACAGCCCTTATTATTGAGCAAGGCCTCATTCTCCTAATTTAGAAGGCAGATAAGTATAACTCCCCCCATTTTACAGATGGGGAAAATGAGAGGTGGCACAAGGCCACTTCAGGAAGAGCTGGGAATAAAACCCTTGTCCAGATCCTCAAAGTTATTTAGGCGCCTAACTCCCATTTGGACGTGCATTTTAGAGACACATTACAGTCCCATGTGTCTCTAACATCTGACCAACATCTCAGTTAGCCATGGTGACAGGTTTCAGAGTGGTAGCCATGTTAGTCTGTATCAGCAAAAAGAACGAGGAGTCCTTGTGGCACCTTAGAGACTAACACATTTATTTGAGCATAAGCTTTCGTGGGCTAAGCTTATGCTCAAATAAATTTGTTAGTCTCTAAGGTGCCACAAGTACGCATCGTTCAGTTAGCCATGTTACTTTCAGAATAAATGTGCCAATCTATGTGCTTGGCTGTGCTTTCTGTAACCATTAGACCTCTCTCATCTCCACAGACAAGAATGCAATCCAACAATATTGATGTCGTCAGATGCCACCGGTGTGGTGCTCTGCTCTGTTCAATGATGATAACAGTCGGCTGCGTGCATGTGTTCCCTTTGTGTGCTGCCCCGGCTCTGCAGATCGCTGACACAGCAGGCCCCGAGAGAACCCACAATGACCACAGGCTCTGATAAGGTATGAAGACACCCAGCCAGGTTTATTGTCAAACGAAGCACAGTAATAGTTTCCTGCAGACTCTACAGGACATACTACGAATATGTGCCCCCTGACAATGGACCGGCTCAGTCAGTGGTGGACTCTCCACTACCCCCTAGGCCAGACAAAGATATCCACTCAGGGATGCGTTCTTATACACAGGTACAAACAAGTTACACATCACTCCTGACCCATTGAGGTACAACCCCTCTACGCGTTAGGGTGCTGCCTCTCTCCTGGTACATGTTGGTTCGAACAAACAAGTCTATCCATCATATTATCCTTCTGACCCTGTCTTTAGGATGGGTCAGTCTGTTCCCCATTATCTCTGTGGAATGTGTTCGTACCAGGATGTTCTGGTGCCATCCTGGCACATGTATGCGTGCAATTAGCAGCCTTCTTCTTGCCAACTTCTGTGAGCAGGGCCTGCCTCTGGCTCACGGCTTAACTTTGCTTTATGTTAGCAAAGTCTTGACCATTACTTTAGTTCAGGCCTCAGGCCTCATACCAGGCCTCTGATACAAGGGTTTATGTTTCAGGGCCTCATCTTACTACATTCCCACACTTTTTGTCTTTTTATGGGGTGGATGTTTACCCATCGTCCCGGAAAAGCATAACGTATGGACTAAAGATAACCCAGTAGGCTAAACACTGTTATATGGTTACCTTATTTTGCCATCCATACACTCATGCCCTATCTGTCTTTAGTCTGCACATTCCCTCGTACGACTGATGAACAGATTTTATTTTCCAATTGACTGTAGTCCCTTATAGTGGGCCTGGGAATGTTAGGTCTGGGACCATGACTGAGGAATGTAGTATTCAGGGGGCACATATTCGTAGTATGTCCTGTAGAGTCTGTGGAAACTATAACTGTCCTTTGTTTGGCAATAAACCTGGCCGGGTGCCTTCAGACCTTATCAGAGCCTGTGGTCATTGGGGGTTCTCTCGGGCCTGCTGTGTCAGCGATCTGAAGAGCCGGGGCAGCACACAAAGGGAACACATGCACGCAGCCGACTGTTATCATCATTGAACAGAGCAGGGCACCACACCGGTGGCATCTGACGACATTGGTGACCCCGACAGCTGATCTGGTGAGTAAGCGAGCTGTCCGCTGTAGGAATCGCTATCTAACATGACAGAGAACCACGAGCTACGGAACCCCCTTAACCCCTCCCTGCAATTCCCCAGAGAGTTTAAAAAATATAATGGGGAAGAAACATGTGATGTAATTTTTAAAGCTACGGCAGAGACTGTAGCCTTAAAATGTAAAATATTGCAAACTATAATCATGGCTGTTAAATGGTTAAAACAGCATGCCACAAAATTGGCGGGGCAAGAAACAGTA